ATGCTTCCATGCAAAGTAAAAATTGTGCTGAAATAAGTAAAATTAAGTTGAACTACAGAAATTGAAGAAGTTTGTACCTTCTGCCTCAGAAATGTCCCAAAACAAAGCAGTCCACAAGACTTCTTTGTAGGCTGTACAAATTCACAGATTTTGAAGGCCCTGTGAGACTGTTACAGTTGTCCTGTCAGACCTGCAGTTTAACCCAAGTTCTAGAGACTCAAGTTATTCTTAATCCAAGCCCATTATGTGCCTGATCTATGCAAATCTGTTGGAAAAATTCAGTCTTAGGCATTTATACCAAAGAAAGCTGGAATGGATTAAAACTCACTATTTATAAATTATTATCATATGATAAACAGAAAGTATCTAGATTCTCTAAAGAAGCAGAAGGGAGGAAAGATTTAGCTCATGTCCATATAGATCTTGTTCCATTGAACCCTACAGGAAATATCCAAACACAAAGAGAAACTGAGAATATGACCACATTATATGGCAGAATGATTAAAGAGCATCAAAATGGATGGCAGGAGCAAGTTTTTTTGCTATTCATTTAATGGCTAGCCGCATGGGAGCTTTTATACTACAGAAGTTATATTGATAATACTTTTTAGTTTACCTTTCTAAGAAGATCCTGTTTTTATTGGGAGGTTCAATATATCTTCATTCATTACTTGCATTACAGAATGTAAGCAATGTATAAAAGCTAAATTAGTGGCGGGGGCAGGGAGGGGCTGGCTGGGATTTTTAAACTCAGGTATGACAGAGAAGCAGTGACATCCAGACAAGTGAAAATAGCTGAGTCTAAATCTAAGTTCCTGTAAATATGTTCTCCTTTCCTTAAAACGTGTATTGTGTTTTTCAGCAGAACTACCACCTGCTTCAAAAACACTGTGACCAAATGCTTTGCTAATTGCCTGATCCCTTTATAAACCAACTCTTCAGCATACTCATGTTGGTAGGAAAGAGTTGCGCACATTCCTTATTGACCTACCTAAGCAGAAGTGATGGTATTATTTTGAATTTATTTTTAACAAGCTATAGTAAGAGATTTTTCTTGCATATAACCCCAGTAAATTGCTGTGTGCAGCCATTTTTAGTGAGCATTCCTATCCAAAGCATGTAGCATTGCTATTTGCTGCGTGTCTTTGCCAGAAAGGTTCAGATTCTCTTCAAAGATCTAAAGCCTTAGAAAGGTCTAGAAAGTCAGTTTCATTTCTTTCCATGACCTAATCCTTTGGTTCAAAAAGGCAGTAAGTTTAAACCAGCTGTTGAAGTGTTTCAGAAAAATGGCTATTTCTACTATGTTTTATTATGTCTGCTGTACCCACTCATCCACTCAAGAATGATTCAGGAATAAAGAGTTAAAATTTGTGTTTAGATGGCAATTACATAATTTCTAAACATTTCCAGAAATTCCTTTTAATGTAATTTCTTCAGCATAAATTGGTGGTAAGCTTATAGGACTGGATGGCCATTCTGCATCTGGTTTCTGTTACCGAGAAGTTGATGTGTGCCATTTGCTCAGACCATCTGCAGAGAAAAAGCTTTTTTTTTTTTCCTTTTTAAGACAGACTGCCTTTGCTTTCAGCATCTCAGGATTAAAGTAACAAAAGGCACATGTTATTTCCACATAAGTATGGGAATGGTGTTGTTAAATTGTTGTGAAGCACTTATTTATATATTTGACGTATGAGGGATACACTGTAGAGCAATGGAATGTCCCATTTTAAATATTTGGTGTGCATTAAGTGTCTGATAAAAGCCTGCTGCACTGGTGGATGTCTCTCTGACTTTACTGGAATGTAACAGATCCTTGGCCCTTTTGGAGATTTGCTAATAGATTCAGATACTGTGAAGTTATTTATATTTTTCCTGCCTTTTCACTTGCAACATTGTAACTTTTTTTTTTTAATGGTTTCCCAGAAAGAAGGAAGATTGTGGTTTTTTATATGGTCCTAAATAAGAAACTAACTGTGGGAGCAGCTTATGTAACTTTTCACCATTACAATCCTTACCTCTGTTTTTTGTTTTTTTTTTTTTCTTTCTTTCTTTTTTCTCTTTTCTTTTTTTTTTTTTCTTTCTTTTTCTGAACTCCAAATGATGCTGCTGAAGGTACCCCATGACTTTGTTGTCCTGGGTACCTGCGGCAGTGACCCAGCAGACAAAGCTGTTGCCACATCCCGGCTCTTGCCACCAGAATGAACACTCCAGATGCCAACATTGACTGCCAAGTTCCAAAGTTAGGCATGCACTGAAGCTGATGTTTGAGGCTGAAGTATTCAAGAGTTTAAAAGATTACTGACTGTTCCTGCAAGAGCCTGTCAAGCAATCTAACAAGCCCTGAAAGGTGAATGAGAGAATAAAATCTCCATTCTGGGCAGTAGACTCCATAAATGCATGAATTCTGTTAGATGTGGTGCTATATTCAGAGAAAGCTACAGTACATGGACTGTCAAATGGATATCGTAAAAAATATAATAATTCTCTTAATATATTAATGAAGGAGAAATCCCATCCCTCTTTCACCCAATTTTCAGTCTGAAATTGGGTTAGTACAAGATTTATTTTTGTCAGTTGAATATGTGTTGTTTTTTTTTTTTTCTTTTATGAAGGAGTCTTTCAGAAATACCTGTTTTCTTTTCTAACAATGTAGCAACATCCCCCCTTACAGATGTAGTAAAGATTAGTGCATGAGACATGAGCACTGTGATACCCCCCTGCACTTTGAGACACACTGCGATTACCAATGGCTTTTCCATTTGTATGACAGGTTTTGTTTGTGGAGTCCTTGAAGCTGTATGTCAGTGTCCATTTATACCGAGTACAGCTGTGGTATCACTTTGGTCACAACAGACAAAGTTATTTGTACAGTACTCCTTGATATTTGACTTAGTCCTTGCGATAGGAGGTTGACAGGGCTAGTTTTGGAGTCTGAAAGTCTGCTTCTTCATAGAAACAAGGAGAGAAGGCAACCAGGATTTCCTTCTGCAGAAGAAGTGACAGTAAAGGCAAAGTTTCCCAGCTATCTTTTAAGCTCTCTTTTATCTTACTCTCCAGCCAGATGGACTAATTAGTAAAGGCCATGTGCCTCTGCCCTTTCCACAGGGACCATCCATATAATGTTTACTAAAATTAGGGATGATAACAGTTTTCTGCACTCTATTCCTAATGTGAATAGTAATATATCCAAATATTAGAAAATAAATTCAAAATAGATTAGCTATGCTCCTTCAAAACAGATTAGCTATTTATAGGCTAAGAAGACCTAAGACTTAGAAATTGGATAGGCAGGGTAGGAATTCTATCCAGAGAAACATAAATGTTTTGGGGGCTATCGGTGTCAGATAATGATTCAGTGAAACGGAAGCAAGTAGAACAGGTTCAAGACACATTAGGAACAAGTATTTTCAGCAGCAGCACCTGTTTCTATTCTGTCTTACAAGAAAAATAGCAATGGTCCATACATGATGGCAACTAAAACGTTCAAATAGGCAGAAGTACTATTGCAACATATTATGCCCTGAAGAGGACTATGTTTTGTTGCAAACAGAAAGCATAACTTTCATTGTAGATAGTATTCATGTAAATATGTGATCTGACTGTTAGAATAACATGGATAAAGCACAGCACCATCTCCCAGATGGAAATCCCTTACTAATTTGGTTTAGTACAGGAAATTCTGTGCTTCTTATTAAGAAGAAGAGCAAGCTCCTTTATTACTGTCTTGGATTATGCATTTTATCTTCTAAATCTGCCTTCTCTGAAACATCGCTATCATGGTCAGCTGCCACACCAGCTTGGGCTATAAAGATCCCATATCCCAGGCAGTGCTAAACTCTCACTGGGACCGGCTGGGGGAATTCCAAGGAAAATTTAAGGTGACACAGGAGGTGATTCTGATGCTTTCAATATGTGCCCTTTGGCTGATCTTCAATTGAACCATTATCCCTCTCCGGTGATAATGATGTCATCTTCTAAATGAGATGTAAAACTCACATTTTGATCTTAAGAGGTAAAGAGGGAGCCTTTTACCCAATTTTCACTGGACATTCTGTCTTCCATATTTTCCAGCACCCCACAAGGGGCTTTGCACCCAGCCTGCCATGCTTTATCCACAGCCTCCAGTACTACTGGTTGTGTGATTTAGCAGATGTGCACACAAATCATTTTCATAAAACTCACTCTTGTGCTGTAGAGCATCAGCCAGCAATGTACTGTTTTGTTTCAACCAACTGGGGCTGAATGACAGATCATTTGTTTTACTAAATAGACAAACAAAGGCAAATCTACATATCAAGTTTATGTTGGTGCTACAGAAAAAAAAACTTCATATTGTTTTTTAAAATAAATTCCTACAAAGCTACACTAATCTTTAGGAAAGAATTATTAAATTATTAAATTTAAAAATATTTATTTTTTTGTCTAATAGTGTCTGGAAAATAATTTTTGTCTTCAAAAAACCTACACTTTTCTTGAAGCATTAGTACTACAGTTATGACACCTGAGTGTCCAAAGTGCCAAGGGAGTTCTGTGATGCTCTCAACACCTGTAATTCCACAGGAAAATGAGTCTCCTTCTTTGGGTCAGGAGGATGCCCTTGAATCAAACCTGCTCTTAGCTTGTTATTTCAGCACTTCAGTTCATATCATGCAGAGGCCTCAGAATACATCAGCTGGATTCCTTCTGAATGACAGTAAGTAGGAATACATGTACATGTGCTTTGGCAATCAATGAGTGTTTGGTCTGTCCCCAGGTGCCATATGTTATAATATGCATAGCGATGATGCCAGGTTCTTTACACCAACTGTGACACTATGCAGGTCTGGTCCTGCTGGTTAAGGTATACTTTGATTGTACTTTATACTACAACACCACTCTGCAGTTGACAGTGTGGGCTTGCTGTGGGTTCTCTGTGTGCTTTGAGTCCAAGACTGAAGAAGCTTCAAAGCAAATTGCTTCCATGTCCAGTCCTGCAGGCATGCTTTCCATCTGAAACAGTGACGTTAACAGACAATTTCTTCCTGTGCTGTGATGATTTTCAAATACCAGCTGCACCATAGTTTGGCATGATCCTGATTGCAGTGTTTAAAGTCACCTCTCAAAATGTAGACACCTGTAGACAATTCACATTTATTTATTCAGTAAACAAGATAAGTTGAGAACATTGTACTTATTCAGATATTATTGTCTGTTGATCTTATAAATTACAGCTGTTCCCAATGGACTTAACCAACTTTTAGAAAGCTCTTTTCAATTTCACTCCACCTATGGGATCAGTCTGAGGAATATTGAGGACTCCATCCTTCTGAATCCTCAGATATGCATCTTGATTTGAAGCTCTCCAATTTTAGGGAATACTGAAATCAATGCTGATTTTAATTACAATAAATGTTATGTTATTAAGTTATTATTTTTATTACATATTCTCATAGTATCAAAAGCACTTGTGACAGTGAACATCTGCTCATCAACTGTCTCCTTTGAGAGTGTTCATGTATAAAAAATGGAAAGTGTACCTGCATTGAATCTGCAAGCTCAATTTTACTTAATAAGAGGCTTGTGGAGATCCTAAAAGCATTGAAAATCTAGACTCATTGTGAAGTATATTTAAAGATTTGGCAAGTTTACTGATTTCTTCATTTAAATGCCACTACTGCTGATTTTTTTTTTCTCATTAAATTTTGATTTGGTTACTGTGGTTTATTTAACCTGGGGTTTTGTCTCCTGAGCAGATACACTTGGCAATGTGTCAGAAAGTCATGGTGACATCTGACATGCCCAGAGGATTTCCTGGAGTCAGGGAGCTGACCAGTCCCTGGGCAGGGCTGATGAAGCTGGGCAGGCTGGGAGGGGGCTGACAACTTCTGATTAGCCTGCAGAAATTGAACTCACCACCCTGCACCACCCAGAATGGACCACGGGATAGAAGAGTGGGCTTTCCTCAAGCCTCCAGAGACTAGTCTGTGCCTCCTGCATGCCAGGTGCCCCCAGAGGTAAGTAATGCAAGGGATTAGTTTTTGCTGTTGCAGGACAGACAGAAGTTGACTCCCACTGGAGAGCTCTCTGCCTTTACTGGAGCCCAGCCTGAAACAGGTACAGGGGAAGGTGTCTGCTGCAGCTTTGTGTGCAGGGCTCTGCCTGTCTGCTCCCTTTTGGCAGCAAAAGTGGCAGTTTGATAACTACAGATGTGCAGCTGTACTTCTAAGGAGTCTCAGATTGCAGCATGCACCATGCTGTCTCAGTTGGAGCCTCCTGAGGCTTCTGCATGCTTTTATTTCAGGAAGCTGGTATTTTGCATTGGTGTAGATGTTGTGGTCTAACCCAGCAGGCAGCTAAGCACTGTTCACCCGCTCCCAGTGGGACAGGAGAGAGAATTGGGAGGAAAAAAAAAAAAAGCTCATGGGTTGAAATTAATACGGTTTAATAGGATAGAAAAGGAAGAGAAATAATGATGATTATGATAATAATAACAGCAACAACAACAATAATAGAGTGTACAAACAAGTGATGCACAATGCAATTGCTTGCCACCCACTGACTGATGCCCAGCCTGTCCACAAGCAGTGGTTTCCCCCCACCCTGGCCAGCCCTCCCATATGAATTGACGCCATATGGTATGGGATACCCCTAGTTAATTTGGGTCAGCTGTCCTGGTTCTGTCCCCTCCGAGCTTGTGCTGCACCCCCAACCTGCCCACTGGCAGGGCATTATAATAACAAGCTGAATTGTCCTTGACTTTACACTAGTAAGCACTGCCCTGCAACAGCTAAAACATCAGTGTGCTGTCAGGATTATTCTCATCTTAAATCCAAAACACAGCACCATACCAGAAGAGCAAAATTATTCTAGCCAAAACCAGGACAATGTTACCACCTGAGTGGTTTGTTTATTTATTTATTTATTTTGTCTCAGGTTCCATTTAATTTCAGGACAAAGGAGGTGGGCTTAAAAACCAAAATGTATATATTATAAATGCATATATTGAATTTGGCTGTCAGATTCAGGTACCTACATGGCTACGTCCTGTTGGATCCTGTTGGAAGCTAAAGCTGATTTATTATCTTAAATTTTACAAGCTTGTTATAAACCAGTGATACCAAGTCAGAAGGACATATGGTTGTCTTTGTGATAGAATAAAAGAACCAAATTTGTAATATTTTACTATGTTTAGTTAGATAGAAGGAAAACTAGAAACTTTGTATGTCTGATGCTACCTTACTCACTAGTCAGCCTTACCTGTAAGGCCGTACAGAATTGTACCTCAGGACGGGGTAGGGGGGCGAGGTAAGCTAGGCCTGGAGGATGTGCCTGTAAAGAATATGTGGGGAACTCATGCTGTGCATGTCTTTCAATATGTAAATGACTTAGCTTAGTATGCACCCCTAAATTGGAACAACAAGGTGAGACAGAACGAGATGGGCTGAGCATGTGCAAGAACTGGGTTCAAGCAGTGAACATAGCAAGGAAGATTACCAAAGACCACCAGAGACCTCCAGTAGAAACAATTGCACATGTGTCAGGGACATTTACGTATTTTAATGAGTTACAAGAAATAGTATGAATATGTTATTTCTTGGAAATCTAATGACTCTGTATGTTTTGATTGTATATAACCCCTGCAGCTTGGACAATTTAGCCTACACACTAGGTGGAGCGATCCCTGTGTGTCTGGCACCCCATTTAAAGACTGCCTGCTTTCTTAAACTCCAGATAGAGTCTTAGAGAGTTTCTTTGACAGACTTTGTGGTAACAGTTTTGGCAACCCAAATAGGACTTATCTCTTGAGCCTCAACAGTTCCTGGGATTGTGGAACCTCAGCTGGCACCAAGGGATTCTCAGAGAGGACCCCGATCCCCAGGCTGAAGAGCCCCTGAGCGAAGACCACTGTTTTGTAAGTACAAAGGCATTCTTTTGGAAAATTTGGTTACCTGCCCATAAAACGCACCAAAAGCTACACAGGGTTGGGTTTAAGACTCAGGCTGGGGTTTGAGTCTCCGTTTGGTTGTGGGAGGTCCGAGTCCCCGTTGCACCTGCTCGTCCCCATTTGGTTTTAAAAACAGTGTTGGAGTCCCCAACTTGGATAACTGAATTTTGGCTTGGATATTGGAATTTGGGTACTGGAACTACATATTTGTTTTTGTTTACTTGGATTATATATGTATTTTCCTTACTACTCATTTAATATTGTTGTAGAGACGTTAGTAGCTCTGGAGTTGAGGCAGAGACCTCAGAATCACGGGCGTGAGCCCTCTGGGGCAGAGGGATCGGATGATGAGTGAGAAAGTTGTCATGGGAACAACGCCAGTGGCAGGGAGGACTCCAGCTGGCAGGGGAATTGAGTCTTAGAGAGTTTCTTTGACTGACTTTTACGGTAACACCAGAGTAAAGGGAATAATTCTTACCTTGCTGTGATGACTTACTAAGGCCATAAAGAGACATCAGCAGGAGGCATGACATTTCAAACAAGCCATTCAGAAAAGTGCAAACGGGTAAGACTTTAAAAGTGCAGGTTTTCAATCTGCAATTAAGGAGATTTTAATACTGTTTTCCTATCCAGGACAAATTTATTTCTTTGCAAAAGTTGCTCAGAATAGGATCCTTACACTGTCTTAAATGCAGCTTGAATAATGCACTGTATTTGAGTGGCTTCTACAACAGACAATTTTTTTCCTGTTTAACTACAGCTGCTTTCCCATTAATAAACATAACACAATTTTTAACAATAAATTGGGAACTGCTAGAAGTTCAAAATGGACAATTCTCTTCCTATTAAATCAGCTGATACTGTTAATAATGCCATGTTTCATATGGAAGTCCTGATCTTTTTTAAAATATTTAGGTGTAAATGAAAATGGTAATACTTTAATACTTAAATATTATTGCACCCATTATCTAAAATCTTTCCTCTCTCCTTTAATTCACATAACTCATTTTTTTCATGACTGATTGTGTTGGTCCCTTCATGTTTCTGTCATGATTGCTTAACCTCTTGGTGTGATTTGTGAGAATATTTTTCCTGGCTCTTAAATATATGTTTTCTTTCTGTAGACATTCAGTAAGGGAAACCTTGAGTAACTTGGAAAAAAGCAGACAGAAAAAAAACTTTTTTTGTGGAGAGAGAGAAAAGAAAGTGATGATAATTCAGTGCTTTAATTCTTTTTTTTTTTTTTTTTTCTTTTCCCATGATTTAAGATGAGTACTACAACTTCCCCATATTGGCTATCCCTGTTTTTAAAAGCAGATTAATGCTACGTCTTTTTCTGAGTTTCTCAGAACTATTGTGTCTTGGCAGTCAACTTCAGTCCTCCTTTGCTCAGTCCATGCACTGTAACAGAATATTCTGTACTTATTATCACAGAAGATACAGAAAGAATAAGAATCACCAGGAAAAACAAAAACAAATGACCAAACAAACAAAAAAAACACAGAAAGATGGACAGTAATGGAAATAAACAAATGAAATCATCCTTGAGAGCATCAGTGTTGAAACAACACAGCAAATCAAGGTGAAAAGATGGCCAAGTCTGAGGAAAAACAAAGATTTACTGCAGAGTCATCCTTTTGTATACAAGGTTTTGCATTGCTGCCTTGCAAACTGGAGCTCCCTGGATTGAGAAATTCAGCTATTAATGATTTACAGTCAGTAGCAAGACAATCAAAGTTATTTATTCCACTGAGCCTGGGACAGGCTTGAATCTGCCATTCAACTTAATAAATGTCAATCTATATTGTGAAAATGATAGAATAATGCATTCAATCTTCAAGCATAGATTTGTTGACATAGAAAATGGCTAATGTTATATGAAAAAAAAATCGTCTGGTGTGTTGCACAGAAGCATACCTGTCAGAAACTGTGAGATTTATTCCATCCATGTATATAACCATGTCACTCTATTCTTAATTATATTATTTATTAAAAAATTTATTAATTTGTCCCCAAGTCCTATCACAGGAAGTTCCTGCAGTTCTCCAGGAAATCAGTCCTGCCCTCAGACTGGAAGATCTCAAAAGATATTTAGGAGACCAAAAGACCTGCATCAGGGCTTTGGTTCTTTGCAAGGTCCCTGCAACTTACCAGTGCATCAATAAAGCATTTTCTCTTCTAGTGTCTGTCTATACTATCTTACCTGTAGAGTAGTGGGTGTTTATATTCCAAAAAGGTACAAAACCAAGGTTACGCGCCTCAGGCTTTTGCAGGACATAACTGATTAAAAAGTGCTATAAAAATTCTGACTGAGTTTTATGTGTGTTTCACTATACAGCAGTATCTGACAGAGCCAGACATGGAATAATTGATCAGCTGCTTTTCCACACAGAGGTCCCAAGTGGTAAAGAAAGACGCTGCTGGTGAAATACTAGAAAAAGGATCAGAGATGCTTAAGTTGTTCTTAGTCCAAGCTACTGTCTGTCCTAATTCAGGAGCTTGACTTTTCCCTTGGCCTAAGTGAATAATCATTCTTTGTACTATGTCATGGGTTTGGAGTTCTGCCCATATTACTCATGTGAGACGGAGTAAAACTAGGAGGACACAAAGACCAAATCCCAGGGAAAATCCCCTGCTTCTAAGCAGTGCGATGAACTGGAGGAGATCCTCATTATCCTTTTACTTTCTCTTGGTTCTCATCTTGTATCTCCAGACTGTCAATTCATATCTTTATCTTTTTTGACAAAAGAATATAGGCTTGGAAGCTTCACTGGCAAGATTTTATAGTTGTTGTAGTGTTAAATTCTCTTTGCATTACTATTAATTGTCTGTAATCTTTTAAAATTTTTTGCTGTTTAAAATTGCTTAAATGTCTTTTTTTTTTTTTCTTTTTTTCTCCCTGAACTGGATTTATTTCTTCATCTTTGACATTGTAAAGAGTCCTGTGCCAGTCCTCTGTGTTCCTTGAGATTTGTTCTGAAGTATCCTACAGACAAATTAATTTGCCAGCCAGAAGTCTTCAGCGACTATGTTGGGTGTAAGAGTTCCCCTCAGCCAGCTGGCATAAGAAAGAGAAACATTCCAGAAGAACTTCTTGTCTCCAAATGTCCACCATTCCCACCCCCATCTAGTGAAAGCTTTTACAGCATGCCTGGAAGTACGTCAAATTGAGGCCATTTTCAACAAAGGGAAAAAGGAATGCACTCTAGATCCTCGGGGCCTCGATTGAGACTATGCAGCTGCAAGCACCCTTTCTCTTTTTAAGGGAGTGATTCAGACCACACTCTTCTATTGGCTACAGATGTAGCAATGCTATATATTATGGTTCTCTCTGCAATATTTTATTTTAAGCACTCTGCTGAGCATTCACTGTTTAGAACTTGGTGTTCAGGCTGGGTCATCTGTTCCCTTTTCTACAAGAAGATTATGCTTTGGCTGCATCTATAGACCCCAGTTGTACACAGAAGTGGTATGCATCCCACTGATGATGAAGTTATAAATTTTCTCAAGCAATTCTGAAATGGAATTGGTCTTTATTTCTGTTTTCTTATTGTCCAGTAAAATGAAGGAAATCTGCCTACATTCAACTAATTCCATGCTTCATCTGAGTTGCATCCCCTAGATCTTCATTCCCTTAATCCCATGGGCTTTGACCAGGTGAAAGTCTGGCTCCTGCTGTTGCCAGCAAAATTCCAGTTGATTTCAAGAGTTTAATCTCAGAGTTTGGCTAAGGGTCAAATTTAATCTGGCAGGAAAGGTCTGAGGGCTGTTGCACGTTTCTGCAATTTCCGCTATGTTGTTGATATTGCAGTTGCATGAGACCTATGTACTCCAGAGCTGGAGTCACATTTCAAAAAAGCACCCTACAAATACTAGATATGGACACACTTCATGCATGGTCAGACTTGATCTCCATTTTCTGTGGCTGTTTTTTACAGTTATTCCTCCTATCCTTTCCTCATTTGGATGTGATGCCATGTCTTGCTGAAGTGTTGTTAGTGAGGAGAGTTGATAGCCAAGGCTAAATCCAAATGCTTAAAATACAATCACAGTCTCCACAGCCTTCTAATATTTGAAAGCTTTGCTGAAAAGGAAAAAGATATAAGCTCATAACTAAAAATTTACATCTCAAGTCAGGTTTAAATATGAAATAATCTCTGACAAGTCTGTTTGATTTCCTTCACAATAACCTTATAAATACATTTTTCCTCCCTTGATTTAAATATTTTCTTTTCTTAATAAGTTTGAGTTCTAAATAATGGCTAAGTGAATTTTTTTGAAGTTACATTTAAGGAACTTTTTTTTTTTAGTTATGGGAATACTGTTTTGGTTCTGCATGTATACTGTTACTTCAGAAAACCAAAGCAGAATGTTGTTCTTTTACACCAAATGTGTTTTGCTGAATATAAAATCCAGGGAAAGAGATAAATAACTTTTTACAAATGTTGGTCTGTTCATCATTCCTCTGTTTGTACTGTATTTCTGTGACATGTATGGGGCCAATTTGTTGAGATGGGTGGTTGATGAGTGGATGATGGATTCCCTCTGATGATTTACAGATGCAGTTTATCATTTCTAGATCACATCTTCCTCTTTCCCTTGTTCAAATGTTTGTGTGTGATGGGAATGAAGGCAGAGAGTTTTTTCTCATGCTTTTAGTTTTGGTTAACCGTGCCACACATTAAGATCTTAACATGCTAAATAGATAGCCTGAATTATTTATAAGTGGTAAAGATGTCATTAAGTTTTTTAGGATATAGACAGAAAGCTCTTTTCTTTTTCCATGTTCTTCTTCCCCAAAGTCATATTTCATGAGTGTTCCTCACAAAGATCACACGGGAGGGGTTGTATTGGGGATCTACTGTAGAAGGAGCCTAAGGCATGAAAAATTGTTGCTATTTAGTCAGTATATATGTACTATGGAGTGCTTTATGGAGATTATGAATGTCAAACCCACTCTAGCCAAAGTAACTACAACAGAGCTATAAGGAGACTTAGGTCAAATCTAATTGGTTCTCATAGTATTTTGTCAGTGATTATTCTTGTATAGATATTAAGAGTATTTGAGACAATTACAGTTGGACTGAATTCTCCTTTTCTTGTTGAACATCAGGAATAGGTGACAATGGAAAAATTCAGACCTGAGGGATGAAAGCTGAAGACATAGGGCTTAATGAGAGCAAGCTTAATGATAAAAACCTTTTTTTTTTTTTTTTAATCTATTTGACTCCTACATATCACTCTCCTGTAGTACTATGCCTTCAAATGTATGGGATTAAGACTGCCTTAGTTTTTAAATCAGTTTTGAATATTTAAGCTTTAATAATAAAAAAGCTTTAGTGTCAGATCTTGCACAGGTTGTACAGTTGCTAACAGAACATTTCTGCAGAGACAAAATTAATATTGTGTTTTAAAATTGACTAACACTTGAATTGTGTATATGGCTACTAGTGACACCAACAACACTTAATGAGTCTAGCAGTGTTTATTTTTGAACCACTTTCTGTGTGGATTCTCTCGTTCCCATAGTCTCAGTCTCTGTCTTTCCACTTTACTTGGAAAAGGTTTCTCCTTCCAGCTTGTTCCTCACAGTTTTTTTTTTTTTTTTTTTTTTTTTTTTTTTTTATAGCTTAGTTTGTTGGTTCTGAAACTGTGATTCCCTGAAACTTCAAAGCCTTAACAGTGTTTTTATGAATATATTGTCATGCCTGAACTACGTAACTAAATGGCTTTTTTCACTTATGTAGTGATCTCATGATCAGAATATTATCTCTCACTTGGGCACTTTCCATGTGAGCAACATAAAGCTGTCAACGGAGCTGTTCAATATGCCTCATTCAAACGTGCTTTGCATTTTCTTTATAAATCTGTGTCTGTGTGCCTCTGAACTGATACCCATTTGGTTCTGTATCTCAAGGAGGGGTGGGCACTCAGGCAGGCATCTGTCTCAGATGGGTTGGTGGAGCTGTAAACACAGGTCATCATCAGGTTCAGGTGACAGTGTGCTCAGAAACCTCCAAACCCCATTAGCTGGCTTTACTTCTTTGTACAGTGGTACCTGAGGCTTGTACCTGTGCTGGCATTTCCTGAGTCTTCTGCTTTAGCGATGTGAAGTCCACAGAAATGAAATAAATTCCTGGACTGCATACATCATTTCCAAGTGAAAAGGATTTACTTCCCAAACTTTGTCCCCAAGACTGGCAGCCTGACTATTTTCCACACCTCTACCATTACGACCAAATTCCCCTCTCTGTCCCTTTCCAAAATTATCTGCCTCATCCTCATTTTTTTTCCTGTTCCCTTTCCCAGAAATTTTATACTGTACTGCAGGCTTCTGTGTGTGTAGCTGGAAATGGGAGGGATTACTGTCACTCTGTAATCTCAGCTCTGCACTATAAGGGCAAAGTTCACACTCCCTGGCTAAGACATCCTTAATTTCAAGATTTTTTCCCCCTTTATATCTAACACTAACAAACCATGGTAATGTAGTTGACATTCGTTGAAAATTTCCATCAATTCTTGTCTAATTAGACATAGTACAATGACAGTAGAGTAATTACAGTAATCTTAGTCGTATCAGTTGTGTATTTTTTTTGTTATTTTCTTTCTTTCTTTCACCCTTTGTGAATAGGATGTTATTGAACTCAGCACTATAACAGCAAAATAGTAATTAAACCTGGCAGTTTCAACTATATTCCTTTTTCAAATGGATTCTAAGTGTTTTTGAAAAACCTTAATCCAGAATTTATGAGCAAAGACTACAGAATATAATGGTGACAGAACCAGTAGAGTCTTATAAACCTTAGGATAAATACTGTGTCTTTTGTGTAGAGGTCTTTTGTTGGGACCAGTCTATGGTATCTGTTTGTTTGGGATTTGTTAGGGTCAGTCTGTGGAAGCGGAGAGCTGAGATGAAACTTTCTATTAAAATTCTGCACATTAGATAATAAGCTATAGAAAGATGTCCCATTTTACTAAATTCTCATTTTTTTATAGAAAGGTAAATGAGAAACCAGTTATCACAGGATTTATAACAGAAGCAAAGTAAAATAATGAAATCTTGAGAAATGTTTCTGTAAAAAGGCAGAAAGATATTTTTATGCTGGCTGCTTGCTTAAGCTTTATGCTGACACAATTTATTTTGAAAGTGGTTGGTGGAAAATATCTGTAACACAGCACAAATCAATATTTGTTATCCATCTTATTCCTTACCTGTCGTTTTAATAGTCTGCTTGTTTATATCACTATGATTTTTTTAATTATTTAATTTATTTTCTAATCTCTTGAGATTGTACACTGCAAAGAACAAGATCTGTTTTTTAATTGTATATTGGGTATACAATAAGTAACTCAATGGTTCCCTAGTACCTTCAAGATGCTATTGCAGCAACAAGTGACAGTAAAAATATTTTGTTGAAGTTATCATTTTTCTTCTTCTTCTTCTTCTTCTTTTTTTTTTTTTTTTAAGATGTTTTCTTCTTATAAATATATTTGGTGTCGTTAATCCTTTTTAAGCTTGTCATACACAGCATGCAAAGATACAGCATGGTATGATGAGATCTAAGCTCCTCTGTACATAGAGATCTCTCTGTGTAACCTTTTCCTTAGGAGCTGGAATACTGGCAAGTCTAACTACTCTTTGTTTGCTTTACAGATATATGTGTTTATACATCTATGTCTGTGCAAGAAGAGGTCTGGCAAATTTCTACTGAATGTATTTAAATCTGTCTTGATATCTCATTAGGGTTTCCATGATTATGTGGCAACAGGTGGGAGTTAGAAGTCACAGTTTGACACCATTTCCACAGTTCTGTTCAGAAAAGCTGGGGCTAAATCAAAGTGCAGATGTCAATTATATCTCTAAGTGCAGATAGAAAGAAACAATGGGAGGAGGAGGTGCAGATCTCCTAGAGGGTAGTGCAGTTCTTTCCCCCTCAGGGCGTCAGTCCCAGCACAGTCCCCTGTGCTCATGGCAGCCCACTGGGCACCTGAGCACAAGGCACCTCACAAACCCGTAACTGGACTTCCTGCTCAGCTTTAAAAACAGAGGCCAGAGAGGTAAAGGAAATGTTTTATGTAGAAAATTCTGGCTGCTTCAGGAGACATATATGATTCAGTATGAGAAGGAAGCTAGCAATGCATCTGTGCTGCTCCCTGCCATATACTGCATTTACTGAATGAAGCTCAGAGATAGGAGTTACATACCAGAGCCATCATATGTATGCATTTGAGTCTCTGTGTCTTTCTGGGGGATTTTTGTGTACAGATGAGTATTTTTTTTGTTCTGTTGTTCTGAAGCCTTTCCATGGTAAAGCTTAACCCTATTCAAGGTGATAGCAGGCCAAAAGAAAAGTATTTCACAGAATCACAGAATGGTTGAGGTTGGGAGGGACCTCCAGAGATCATCTAGTCCACACTTTTAGAAGTACTGGTGTTCTTAAATGATCAAGCCATAAGAACTGACAATATGTTTAGGTATCTCCTGGGAAATCAATTTCTGAATTCAAATCTGCTATTTCCCACAGTCCTAGAAAAACTGAGCCATACAATCTGTTGATCGTGTTTAAAGGCTAGTCCTGTCTAGAAAGAAGAGTTAGTTCTGACTAATTTGGTTTCCCTATGTAGTGCAAAATAAAGAGCTTGAAAAAATAAATAAAAAAATAGAATTAATTTCCAAAGACGTCCATGCTTCATTATTCCTTACACTTTGCACTTCCCAGTGTAAATGGCCACCAGAGATCCAGGGCAATGATGAATCAGTCCTATTATGCCCTGGAATAACTATTAATACTCATAAATGCTGTAAGCTGAGTAAAGCAACTTGCCTCAAGACAGAATGAATGCAGCAAGCATGCTACTTTGTTTTTGTTATGTATGTATTTTTTTATACTTCCTATGTTTAATCTCATACAATACTCTGACCAAGAATGATGCACAGCAGAGATGTTCCCTCAGTGCTGTCAGCCTGGGGTACCTCAGACTACTGGCTTGCAAGGATGTGACAGATTCAAATACTTAGGTGCTTTCTTTGAAGTGTTATCCATTGAAAATAATAGTTATCAAAATGGCATGAAAAGTGTCAACAGCCAAACGTGCTTTGTGCCATTCCCACATATCTTATCATTGATTATCAGGGAGAAGAGATTGGGGTGAAGAGAGGCACCTCCCTCTCCATTTCTCCTCCTCAGGAAGCTGTAGGGAGTAATGAGGTTGCCACCCAGTCTCCTTTCCTCCAAACTAGACAACCCAAGTGTCCTCAACCTCTCCTGATAGCACATGCCTTCCAGCCCATTTACCAGCTTTGTTGCCTTTCTCTGGAAGTATCTAAATATCACTTTTGTATCGTGGAGCCCAGAACTACACACAATATCCAAAGTGAGGCTGGAGCAATATTGTGGGAGAATCATCTCTTTTGACTGGCTGGCTGTGCTGCATTTAATGCACCCCAAAATGCGGTTTGCCCTCTAGGCTGCCAGAGCACACTACTGACGTGTTGAGCCAACTTTCAATCAACAACCTTAGATCCCTTTTTGTGAGCTGCTCTCTAATCTCTCATCTCTGTCTGTAACTGTCTGGTATTACATACTCCCAGATGCACAGCCTGGCATTTACTGTTGTTGATTTTCATGTCTTTGATGATCATCCATACGCCAATGTATCTAGATCCCTCTGCAAAGCCTCCGTGGAAGAAATGTGTTTCCCAAAGTAATTTTAAGAACAAGTAGTACAAAAGAATGCTCTCAGCCAATAATTCTGCTTTTTTTTTATTATTATTATTATTATTTTTTTTACCCCCGTAACTTCCTGCTCTACAAAAAAAATTATGAATTCCTTTCCACAGGCATTAGGTTGCATGGCAAAAGATACAGAACAAAATACAATAGAAAGAGACTTTCATAACATGTAGAAAAACACGTGCTTCTTTGCATGACCAAATATTGTGTGGAGTAGTATTTAATTGCTCAAAGGCCCTAAACAATGTCACAACAGATGGCAATAGAATAAGAACACTTTAATACATGGCAACACTTGGTCAATAAATATGTGCAAAGACTCTGGGAGAAAGGCAGCTTTTCAACTGGGCACTAATAGAGTTATAAACTATGCACTGCAGTTCCCCAAAGGTCACATGTAATGGCCCAAAGACATAAATTAGAAGCCTCAGGTAATAAAAGGACTGTTTTGTTAAGGCAAAGTTTCAGTTTTCAGGGTTGAGAAATGTTTCTGCTTTCATTTACTGTGAAAGGAATTTGGAGAGGACTGTGAAGACCAGTTGATGGATAATGATATAGATATATGGAGGAGAAGACAACATTTACATTGTAATAGGAGAACGGACTAAAAGAACAAGTTGTTTTTCCTGTGCCTGTACCAATACCGGAGGAAGATATGAGTTTTATTGAATTAAGGGATACCAAACTAATTTTCAAGTTTGGGAAAATGTTGCTGAATATTGCATGGAGCATGAGTATTGGAGGAATAGTGAGGAGGACTTGCTGTTCTCCAGGACTTGCTGTTGTCCAGCTGGTTATCTCATGCTAGATAGAAATTTGCCACAGAAGTTGTCAAAGAAGTCCATGTGGCTGCAGTTTTCAAACATTGATGATGACATCGTCACACATGACAATGTATTGGCTAGTCCTGAGTAGGACTGCAAGATTTCCCATGTTATTTAAGGTGGTTTGATTCTGGATGGCAATCCCAAACATCTCTGATATTTAGTGTTATAAAGACCATGTAGGAAGGACAAACAAACAAACAAACAAACAAACAACAAACAAACAAACAAAAAAAACAACCAAAAAACACAATTGGATTAATTTTGTAGTGGTACACCTCATGAGTAAATTTCTTCCCAGAAACACCTTATGTAATAAAGTGGTATAACAGAATTGGTCCTCAGCTTATCTTCATGTAACTTCCCTACTGAAAGCTCTGTGTACTCATATTTGTAGCCCCATTTACATTGAGTTTTGTCTCAGTTCCCATTAAATGTTATACTGCAGAACTGGCACGAGGCAGAAGAACAAAAGGTATTTTCCACTTGCTTTGAGTAAGAGAGTTGAAGGAGATTGCAACATGAGCATGTAGATGGTGCATAATATGCCTTTAGCAGAGCTCAAGAAAGTAAGTAATGCCCCCCCCGCCCCCCCCCCCCAAAAAAAAAAAAGTGTACAATGTTCCACACCATTTCTGATACCAGGATTTTGTTGTTTGGAGGCATTTACTGATTATCATCACAGAAGAGAAACAAAAAAGTTAAATGAAATACGTAAACATTTCTTCCCTCAGCCTTTATGTACAAAAGCTGTGAGGAGGAAGCATTGTGCTCAGTGATTTGCTTCTCAGGACTTTTTAAATTCTGAGCTAAACCAAACAAAACAGTTATGAAACTTGGAAAGTATTGCATTTCAAGAGAGTCTGGAGTTCTGGAAGTGATAGTCAGCCATGAGGAACTACAAAGCTATTTAAATAACACTCATTGATCTCCTTTTATGGAGAGCAGTCAGAACAGACAGAAGTTAAAAAGAAAAAAGAAGGAAAATAATGCCAAAACAACCACGGCACCCTCCAGAAAAGTTACAACAATAAGAAATAGCGTCATGATAAATGGTTGACTTTGAAGTAATTAAGTGTCTTTAAATCCTTGCAGGCCTATACTCATGAGTTTGAGACTTTTCTAAGCATTTTATTTTATGAGGAAGGGATAGATGCAGACTTACTAAAGACAATGTGTGAATACAGTGAAGGAGTGAAGATTCAGCTTTTGTTAGAACGCTTTACCAAATTTATAACTCTGGAAAGGACAATAGAAAACAAAACTAAATCCTAACACAGCAGGGAAAGGAAAATACATTTAAAAACTGATTTCAAACCTGAATTACCGTTTTCACTTTCTTATATGATACATGAGTAGCATCTTCCCATCAGATGGAACACGTTCTTTGAGAGTGCCAAAAACTGTTTTAGTGTCATCTTTCTCGGTCACTTTGAAGCAGAACCCCGTTCCCTAAACACACATACTTTCTGCTGCCTTTCAAATGAAAATTAGCTCTGCCTTGCCTTGACCTATCAGGTTGGTTCATACCTATATCTGTAAGAAATTGAAAGATTTGCTTGCTTTTACTTAATTAACAGGTTCATGACAGACACAGCATAAGCAGAATTAGAAATCTGTTTGTTTCCAGAGACCTCTTTTTATGTTTGAAAAGTCTTCTAGGGAATTTTGCAAGTCAAGCACAGAACATTTTTAAGGCAAATTAAATTATTTTCTAGATATCAAGTGGTATGTGGTTTGCCACTTGCCTCCTTCATTTCTCACATACTCCATGCTTTTTTTATTTTGCTCTATATTCATTTTTTTTCCATAGGTTTAGCACAATGAAAATGCAATTAACACATTTTCTCTACTAAAAATAATTCTACAAGTCTTGATGCTTGCCTCAGAAAAACT